TCATGAGGAAGGAAAATTATGTGGATATATTGAAGCAACATCTCAAGACATCAGTCAAGAAGTTAAAGCTTGGTCGCAAATGGGTCTTCCAAATGGACAATGACCCCAAGCATACTTCCAAAGTTGTGGCAAAATGGCTTAAGGACAACAAAGTCAAGGTATTGGAGTGGCCATCACAAAGCCCTGACCTCAATCCTATAGAAAATTTGTGGGCAGAACTGAAAAAGCGTGTGCGAGCAAGGAGGCCTACAAACCTGACTCAGTTACACCAGCTCTGTCAGGAGGAATGAGCCAAAATTCACCCAACTTATTGTGGGAAGCTTGTGGAAGGCTACCCAAAACGTTTGACCCAAGTTAAACAATTTAAAGGCAATGCTACCAAATACTAATTGAGTGTATGTAAACTTCTGACCCACTGGGAATGTGATGAAATAAATAAAAGCTGAAATAAATAATTCTCTCTACTATTTATTCTGACATTTCACATTCTTAAAATAAAGTGGTGATCCTAACTGACCTAAGACAGGGAATTTTTACTAGGATTAAATGTCAGGAATTGTGAAAAACTGAGTTTAAATGTATTTGGCTAAGGTGTAGGTAAACTTCCGACTTCAACTGTATGTATATACTGTATTCTATACTATCTATTGCATCTTAGACTATGCCACTCTGATAATGACATTGCTCATCCATATATTTATATATTCTTATTCCATTCCTTTACTTAGATTTGTGTGTATTAGGTTTTTGTTGTGGAACTGTTAGATATTACTTGCTAGATATTGCTGCACTGTCGGAACTAGAAGCACAAGCATTTCGCAACACTCGCAATAACATCTGCTAACCAAGTGTATGTGACCAATACATTTGATTTGATCATGTTTCCGGTCATGTTTTTGGTGGGATGGAGTTTTGACCTGCCCCATCACCAGGTGATAAATTAGTTGATAGACCAATAAGAAAGGGTTCCAAACCTCTCTGCCAATAACAGCTAGTTCTCAGTTTTCCCCTCCCCACTCAGACCACTCAGGGCTCCCGAGTGGCACAGCGGTCTAAGGCACTGCATCTCAGTGCTAGAGGTGTCACTACAGACCCTGGTTCAATTCCAGGCTGTATCACAACCCTGCCGTGATTGGGAGTCCCATAGGGCGGTTCACAATTGGCCCAGCGTCGTCGGGGTTTGGCCGGGGTAGGCCGCCATTGTAAATAATAATTTGTTCTTAACTGACTTGCCTAGTTAAATAAAGGTTAAATTATAAAATAATAAAAAGACCACTCCCAGACAGTCCTAGCAAAATTCTTGCTTGAGAAATTGCTCTTTGCTAAGAAACTATTTTTGTTTCTTTTTTTACCATTGAAATTGGTAAATTACTTAATTGTTACCCAGAATTGATTTGATATTGAGATAAAAACGGCTGCTTTGGGCCTTTAACAGAGGATCCTCATTGTCACTTTATGTTGCTTTAAATAAAATTAAGATGAAATGATGGTTGCTTTGTTACAGTGCTGGGGTAACCATTCAGGGTGAGACCCCTTGAGAGAGGGAAGCGGTGCTAATGATGGCTTTGCACTGCAGTCTTACTTAGCCTGAATGTGTTATTTTGGGGAGATATGGTTATGCTGTTTTGTTAAGAAAATGTAGGTCAGTGAGCGCAAGATGCACTCTATTGGAGTGTGTCTTTATGGAAGGACTCTGCGCAAAGATTGCCCGCACATCAATAAGAATATTGTATTCCACTCTCTCTGACTCATAGCTGTCCTTCACATGTTTAAACGTTTCTGGTTTACGTTAAGTCTACATTCCTCTCCCAAACCTGTGTCCTGTGAAAGTGAAATTAGATAGAGCAGGGGTGTCAAACTCATTTTGGTTCAGGGGCCACATACAGCGCAATCTGATCTCAAGTGGGCCGGGCCAGTAAAATAATAGCAAAATAACCTATAAATAACGTCAACTCCAAATCTTTAACTTTGTTTTTCAATATTATGCCTTAATTTATCATTTAGCCTACATATGTGCATTATAACTCACAGATCACAGTGGATCTACAAAGGCACAAAACATTTATTCACAGATAGGCCTATGGAACTGAAAAAATGGCATTTCACTTTGATTAAAACAACTTGTTTTATTAACTTATTAACTGAACTTATTTTAATGTACAGTATACATTCTGACCACCTGAACTGACTCACCACACTATGCACAAACTAAAGTGGGAGCTATGAAGAACGTTATCACAATGTTCATGGTCTTTAAATATTACATTACCACAGTAAATGTTATTTTTTCACAGAACTGTATTCTTCAGAGTGCAAAACGTCTCTTACAAGTCTTACAATTAGACTTGACCTACTCGCTGTTTAACCCCCTCCCCTCTCTTTCTCTCACTGCGGCCTACCGGCTGCTCCTGAAACTTGGCATCTTTTAGCCTTCACGATTGCATCAATATCAGGTGTCAAATCCTGAGTAGCAGCCAATTTCATAATGTCATTTAAGTGCTTGTGTGTTAGCCTTGAGCGCAGCTTTGTTTTATTGATGTTCATTACAGAGAAAACCTGTTCACAAAGATAGGTAGTCCCAAACATGCATAAAACCTTTGCAGCCAGGGCTGTTAATTTGGGGCACCCTGGCAAGAGATACTGATAAAATGTGTCCAAGCCCACAGAGGCAAATTTGTCCTTCATACCTGAATCACACTGCAAGTCAATTATTTCGAGTTGGATGTCAGCGGGCAGATCAGAAGCCTTGACTGTGAATGGCGAGCAAAAAACAGCAAATTCTGTCTCAAGTTCACCGAAGACCTGAAACCGTCGCTCAAACTCCCGCAGCAATCCTGTAATCTTGTCTTTGTATTGAGCCATGTCAGCATTAAGTCCGGTCGCACGCACATCTCTTAGACAAGGGAAATGAGCGGTGTCACCGCTAGATAGTTGTGTCTCCCAGAGTGACAGTTTCAACTTGAATGCGCGTATGCTGTCATAATACTGAGTGACAACTTTTTTGCGGCCCTGCAACATTTTTTGTTAAGATTATTCAGGTGCTCTGTAATATCCACCAGAAAGGCAAGATCCTGCACCCATTCTGGGCATTTAAGTTCCTTCACTGGTTTGCCTTTTTTCTCCATGAACTGTTCAATTTGCTCTCGTAGCTCAAAGAAACGCTTCAGCACGGCACCTCGGCTTAACCACCGTACTTCAGTGTGGTATGGCAAGCCATGCGTAATGTCTTTATCACTGAGAAGACTGTCAAACTGACGGTGATTCAAACCTCTTGCTCGGATGTAATTAACAGTGCAGACAACCACCTCCATGACATGATCCATTTTTAATGATTTGCAACACAATGCTTCCTGGTGCAAAATACAGTGAAATGTCCAAAACTCTTGTCCTCCATTTGCGGCCTGTACTTTATCTCTGAATTTTGTCACAACGCCTGCTTTTCTCCCAATCATTGATGGCGCACCATCTGTAGCCAGGCTGACGGCACGGGACCAGTCCACTCCGACTCTGTCCAGCGCTCCAACGAGAGAGCTCATAATGTAATCCGCTGTTGTAGTATCCGTCATAGGTACCAACCCAAGGAACTCCTCGGTGACTGTCAAAGTCGCATCAACACCACGAATGAATATGGCCAGTTGAGCAACATCTGTAATATCAGTGCTCTCATCAATTGCAACCGAAAATGCAACAAATGACTTGACTTTGTGATTCATTTGGCTCTCCAAGTCTGCCGAGAGATCTGAAATTCTATCTGCGACAGTGTTTCTCGTTAGGCTAATGTTGGCAAAGGCCTGTCGCTTTTCAGGGCACACGATTTCTGCAGCCTTTAGCATGCATGTTTTCACAAACTCACCCTCAGAAAATGGCTTGGATCCTAACGCTATCTCATTAGCAATAAGGTAGCTAGCTTTCACCGCTGCATCACTGACCTCTCGGCTACGGGTAAAAACAGACTGCTGTTTCTTCAGACCCACTAACAATTCATTTATCTTCTCTATTCTCAGTTGTCCTCGCAAATGGTTGTATTTTTCACCATGATGAGTCTCATAGTGGCGCCGAATATTATATTATATTATATTATATTCCTTGAGCACTGAAACTTGCTGATTACACACCAAGCACACAGATTTCCCATTCACTTCTGTGAATAAATATGAATCAGTCCATTTTTCTTGGAAAACTCTGCACTCTGTGTCAACTTTTCTCCTTTTTGACAAAGACATTTTGGTAATGTGGGTAATTTTGACAACGAGCTTAATAACGATAAGGCAAGATCGGCAGATGGCGCATTCTGGGCGCGTTGCTGTCACGTGCTGTTTATTTCAGGATCTCTCGTTATTTCAGTGCGAACTCTGCTGGACAAATTTGGAATATCTGTTCCTTTAAAAAAAAAAAGTGGACGTCGTCTCGCGGGCCGGATTGAACCATCTGGCGGGCCGGTTCTGGCCCGCGGGCCGTATGATTGACATCCCTGAGATAGAGGAACATGTTGTTGGAGGGGCAGGCAGAGTAAAAAAAAAACAACTAGGCTTGTTGTTTATGTAGTTAAACAGTCTCCAGTGAGGCACACTGTACTTGGTTACATTCCCAGAACTATTCCTACTCAGAGCATTTCAGTGTCTGTAATCCCCATGATTGGACCACTAGTTGTGGACCACATGACTAGAGTGAGGGTGAGCTAGCAGCTGGTCAAAGTAGTCCATTGCACGAAGGAAGTGTTATAATATTCACACTGCAGTAGTAGTGGTTGTAAGTAGCCTGTTATTATATTGCCTGAGCCATGCTGTCGTAGAGCATAAACAGCATTGCTTTTTAACCCTGGGAGAGGGGGGGGGGGGGGGGGGGGGGGGGTGTTCACAGCAGACACACAGGCAGCATGCTTAGACTATGTGCCTGTGTTTATAGGCTGCTGTTATACAGTGTTTACCATGATAAGAATGCTACATGGTCAGTCCACCATTCTAATTTAGTGCACCTTCTCTTTCCCCAGCTGTGGCACAATGACGTCTAGGAAGAAAGTACTACTCAAAGTCATCATCCTGGGAGACTCTGGGTGAGTGTCCTGTCTACCTTGCACAGCTAGGCTAATTACACTTCTCTCTTAACATATAAGTTTACAAAATATGTTTGTTTACCAATCACTCTCTGTCATAACTGTTGCTGACCTGGATCTCTCTCTTGTCAGAGTTGGGAAGACCTCGCTGATGAACCAGTATGTGAATAAGAAGTTCAGTAACCAGTACAAAGCCACAATAGGAGCTGATTTCCTGACGAAAGAGGTGATGGTGGATGACAGACTTGTCACCATGCAGGTACTGGGGAAGGGAAGGGATACTATCAATTTACTCATCACTTCACAAGTGCTGTGCTGAAGTAGAGGTCAGTGGGTAGGCCTGTATTCTATTGTTGTTCATGAACATGTATCGCCTCCCTGTGCTCCGTCACAGATCTGGGACACAGCAGGGCAGGAAAGGTTCCAGTCTCTGGGTGTGGCGTTCTACCGCGGGGCAGACTGCTGTGTGCTGGTGTTTGATGTAACTGCCCCCAACACCTTCAAGACGCTAGACAGCTGGAGGGACGAGTTCCTTATCCAGGCCAGCCCCCGAGATCCCGAGAACTTCCCCTTTGTGGTGCTAGGCAACAAGATTGACCTGGAGAACAGACAGGTGGGTCCAGATGTAGTGTTTTAGACCAGAGCATCTCAGGCAGTAGCTTGTGTTCCCTTCAGAGAATGACAGCTGCCCTTTGTATCTGTCAGGTGACGACCAAACGAGCACAGGCCTGGTGTCAGAGCAAGAACAACATCCCCTACTTTGAGACCAGCGCTAAGGAGGCCATCAACGTTGAACAGGCTTTCCAGACTATCGCACGCAATGCTCTTAAACAGGTAGGGGTCAGAGGGGAGATTATGAGAGCTTTGCTGAATGCCATATGTGTTTTGTGTATTTACAGTAGTGCTGTCTTGATTTCAATGTACAGTGCCTTCACACCCCTTGACTTCTTCCACATTTTGTTGTTACAGCCTGAATTTAAAATGGATTCAATTGAGATTTTGTACCACTGATCGAGACACAATACCCCACAATGTCAAAGTGGAATTTTGTTTAGAGAAATTTTTACAAATTAATACAAATGTTAAAGCTGAAATGCCTTGAGTCAATAAGTATTCAATCCCTTTGTTATGGCAAACCTAAATACTTTCAGAAGTAAAACATAAAAATGTGCTTAACAAGTCAAATAATAAGTTGCATGGACTCACTCTGTGTGCAATAATAGTGGTTAACATGATTTTTGAATGTTTACCCCATTTCTGTACCCCACACATAAAATTATCTGTAAGGTCCCTCAGTCGAGCAGTGAATTTTAAGCACAGATTCAACCACAAAGACCAGGGAAGTTTTCCAATGCCTCGCAAAGAAGGGCACCTATTGGTAGATGGGTATAAATAAATAAAAATGACATTGAATATCCCTTTGAGCATGGTGAGGTTATTAATAACGCTTTGGATGGTGTATCAATGCACCCAGTCACTACAAAGATACAGGCATCCTTCCTAACTCAGTTGCCGGAGAGGAAGGAAACCGCTCAGGGATTTCACCATAAGGCCAATGGTGATTTTTAAACAGTTACATAGTTTAAATGGCTGTGATAGGAGAAAACTGAGGATGGATCAACAACATTGTAGTTACTCCACAATACTAACCTAAATGACAGAGTGAAGTCTGTACAGAATAGAAATATTCCAAAACATGCATCCTGTTTGCAATAAGGCACTAAAGTAATACCGTAAAAAATGTGGCAAAGAAATTTACTTTTTGTCCTGAATACAAAGCATTATGATTGGGGCAAATCCAACACAATACATCACTGAGTAAGTACTACTCTTCATATTTTCAAGCATGGTGGTGGCTGGGTCATGTTATGGATATGCTAGTCATCTGCAAGGTCTAGCGATTTTTTTGGGGGGAAGGGATAAAAAGAAATGGAATAGAGCTAAGCACAGGCAAAATCCTAGAGGAAAACCTGGTTTCCAACAGACACTGGGAGACAAATTCACCTTTCAGCAGGACAATAACCTAAAACTCAAGGCCAAATATACACTGGAGTTACATTTACATTTTAGTCATTTAGCAGACGCTCTTATCCAGAGCGACTTACAGTTAGTGAGTGCATACAATTTCATACTGGCCCCCCGTGGGAAATGAACCCACAACCCTGGCGTTGCAAGCGCCATGCTCTACCAACTGAGCTACAGGGGACAGTTGCTTACCAAGATGACATTGAATGTTCCCAAGTGGCCTAGTTACAGTTTTGGCTTAAATCTATGGCAAGACTTAAAAATGTCTGTCTAGCAATGATCACAACCAACTTGACAGAGCTTAAAGAGTTTTAAAAAGAATAATGGGCAAATATCCAGGTGTACAAAGCTCTTAAGAGACTTACCCCAAAAAATGACTTATCACTGCCAAAGGTGATTCTAACATGTATTGACTCAAGGGGTTGAATACTTATATAATCAAGATATATTAGTGTTTTATTTTTGAATAATCATAAAAATAAAAAAAAGACAATTAACTCAATTTCAATCCCAATTTGTAACACAACAAAATGTGGTGAAAGTCAAGGGGTTTGAATACTTAGAAGGCACTGTATGTTGAGTCACACAAAAAAGCTCAGTGGTGGAAAAAGTACCTAATTATCATACTTGAGTAAAAGTAAAGATATCTCAATAGAAAATGACAAGTAAAAGTGAAAGTCACCCAGTAAGTACTACTTGAGTCAAAGTCTAAAAGTATATGTTTTTAAATAAACTAATTAAAAAAAGAAACGCCCCCTTTTCAAGACCCTGTCTTTCAAAGATAATTCGTAAAAATCCAAATACCTTCATAGATCACTGTTTCCCATGCTTGTTCAATGAACCATAAACAATTAATGAACATGCACCTGTGGAACGGTCGTTAAGACACTAACAGCTTATAGACTGTAGGCAATTAAGGTCACAGTTATGAAAACTTAGGACACTAAAGAGGCCTTTCTACAGACTCTGAAAAACACCAAAAGAACGATGCCCAGGATCCCTGCTCATCTGCGTGAACGTGCCTTAGGCATGCTGCAAGGAGGCATAAGGACAGCAGATGTGGCCAGGGCAATAAATGGCAATGTCCGTACTGTGAGACGCCTAAGACAGCGCTACAGGGAGACAGGATGGACAGCTGATCGTCCTCGCAGTGGCAGTCCACGTGTAACAACACCTGCACAAGATCGGTACATCCGAACATCACACCTGCGGGACCGATACAGGATGGCACCAACAACTGCCCGAGTTACACCAGGAACGCACAATCCCGCCATCAGTGCTCAGACTGTCTGCAATAGGCTGAGAGAGGCTGGACTGAGGGCTTGTAGGCCTGTTGTAAGGCAGGTCCTCACCGGCAACAACGTCGCCTATGGGCACAAACCCACCGTCGCTGGACCAGACAGGACTGGCCAAAAAGTGCTCTTCACTGATGAGTCGCGGTTTGTCTCACCAGGGGTGATGATCGGATTCGCGTTTATCGTCGAAGGAATGAGCGTTACACCGAGGCCTGTACTCTGGAGTGGGATCGATTTGAAGGTGGAGGGTCCGTCATGGTCTGGGGCCACAGCATCATCGGACTGAGCTTGTTGTCAATGCAGGCAATCTCAACGCTGTGCGTTACAGGGAAGACATCCTCCTCCCTCGTGGTACCCTTCCTGCAGGCTCATCCTGACATGACCCTCCAGCATGACAATGCCACTAGCCATACTGCTCGTTCTGTGCGTGATTTCCTGCAAGACAGGAATGTCAGTGTTCTGCCATGGCCAGCGACGAGCCCGTATCCCATTGAGCACGTCTGGGACCTGTTGGATCGGAGGGTGAGGACTAGGGCCATTCCCCCCCAGAAATGTCTGGGAACTTGCAGGTGCCTTGGTGGAAGAGTGGGGTAACATCTCACAGCAAGAACTGGCAAATCTGGTGCAGTCCATGAGGAGGAGATGCACTGCAGTACTTAATGCAGCTGGTGGCCACACCAGATACTGACTGTTACCTTTGATTTTGACCCCCCCTTTGTTCAGGGACACATTATTCAATTTATGTTAGTCACATGTCTGTGGAACTTGTTCAGTTTATGTCTCAGTTGTTGAATCTTGTTATGTTCATACAAATATTTACACATCTTAAGTTTGCTGAAAATAAACGCAGTTGACAGTGAGAGGACGTTTCTTTTTTTGCTGAGTTTACTTAAGTATCAAAAGTAAATGTAATTGCAAAAATATACTTAAGTATCAAAAGCAAAAGCTTAAATCATTTCAAATTGCTTATATTAAGCAAACCAGACGGCAAAATTGTCTTGTTTTTAAAATGTATGGATAGCTAGGGGCACACTCCAACACTGACATAATTTACAAAGAATGCATTTGTGTTTAGTGAGTCCGCCAGATCAGAGGCAGTAGGGATGACCAGGAATGTTCTCTTGATAAGTGTATGAATTGGACCACTTTCCTGTCAAAATGTAACAAGTACTTTTGGATGCCAGGGAAAATGTATGGAGTAAAAAGTACATACTTTACTAAATTCCTAAAGAAAATTAAAAGTTGTCAAATATCAATAGTAAAGTCCAGGTACCTCCAGAAAACTACTTAAGTAGTACTTTAAAGTATTTTTACTTAAGCTGTTTCAGTGTTGTAAAGTACTTAACACCATCTCGTCTTTTTCTCCCTTTAGGAGACTGAGGTGGAGTTGTACAATGAATTTCCTGAACCGATAAAGCTGGACAGGAACGAACGGGCCAAGCCATCAGCGGAGGCCTGCAGCTGCTGAGGACCTAGCAGACTTACAGGGGTGCAACTGTCGGCCCTGCTACTCTGTCTTGCCTTGTCTACCCTTTATCCCCCCCCCCCCCCCCCCCCCGTGTGCTCTCCTCTGCCCAATATTATCACTGGCCTTCGTAGATGCAAGCAGAGTTCCGCTCGTAAAGTATACTTTACACACACACACACTGTACTCATCCCTGTGTACACATCACATATTTACTCTCAAGATGAGTCTCCAAGCCCAAAGAACACCCAGGTGGATATTAGAGCATTTATTAACATAATATCTGCATATTATTTCCCCCTTAACCTGTCTCGTGGCTCAAACACCTTTTTAGACACCATTGTTTCCATGGCACCACCCAACCTCACACATACGCATACATACAGAAATAAACTCCTGTGACATAAGGGGGGTTAGATATAGTTCACTCCCAAAGTTCCAGTGGTAAAGGAGGTTGTGTAGGATCAGATTGAGAAATGTATATCAACGTGTATATGGGGGTTATACCAATGTAATGCCTGAAGATACATGTGTTAATTGGCTTGGAAGTGAACTAGCAAGTCCAACATACAAGTGTTGTTCAAGGCATTTTTTTGCACTTTGTTGTCATGTAGACTTATTCAATCCCTGTTTGACACCTCATTTTGGAGCCATAATAAAAATATTGTTTTTTTTTAGCTCAAGGCTGAAGAGGCAATGTGGATTTTAACTGTTCCCCAACTGCCCTACACATTGTTTCTCAATGGGGGAAAGTCAAGCAGCAAATGATTATTTTGTCAACATTGAGACCTGACACAGGGGGTAGAGAATCAAACCAAGGGAGGATGTCCTATCTGATACAGTCGGGGAGGGGATAGGTTTTCAGAGTATAAATATCTCTGTACTATTATTAGCTAGTACCTCTGTCTTTTTACACTGTCAACTATTGCAAACCTTTGTCTGTCAATCGTTTAAGGCAAAAAACATGTCTGTTAGTTTCCATATCTCGCTCTGCCGATATCTCAGGTTGGCAAATTATTTGTTAAGCGCTTTATTTTTTAAAAACCGATCAGATATTTTAGTCTGTTCGCATATGTTTAGAATTTGAATTGCATCATAGAGGACAAGAGAACACTTAAACAAAATATGGGGGAAATGTGTTAGCAGTAATCATGAAGTTTTTAATTAAATGATAAATGCACTTCATCTACATTGTTTGAAAATGTCTTTGGGTTTCAGGTAATAATAATGGTTATTGAATGAAGAATCTGTGTACGTGTGTTAATGCAAGTAGAACAGGTAACTAAAGCACAGTAGGTTACTATCATGGTTCTCATACACACAGCTGTTGAAAGACCGAGTTTACTATAATCTATAGTATACTCTTGAATACATTGAAATGTGTAGTTTTGCATGGGGGCACTCACTTGGTATTTGTATTCAGTCTACTACTTATATAAAAATTGGTCACTTGTGAAAGTTGACACTTCACAGGACCATCGAAATCTGTCAAATATTTAATTACATTATCTTCAACCAACACCAGACAGACATAAAAATAATCTAACCATTTGCGCTCTTCCACCTCAATCACACACGGCAATATCAAGACAATAAGGCATTCATTCTTCAGTCTGTTCCCATCTCTTTTCAAAGTCAGTCAATGTTTGTCCCAACCACTCAGTTGGTCCTGGGTTTCTTACTGGCTCCCTGCAGTCTTCGGCTGCTTCTCAGGCCTGGTCTCTCCTGTGTGCCCCTCCTGTTCGACTTCCCCAGTGTCTAGCGCTTTCCTCTTGGAGGGCGTGCTGCTCTTCAGCCAGCCCATCTTCATCTTACTGCCTGCTGAGGGCTTGGGCGCCTGGGGAAGGAAGGGTATATGATGAGTGGGTAAGCGGAGGAAAATGTAGTATGGTATGGAGCCCGTTATCTATCTTTACTCTTCAAGGTTTTAAATCTAGATATGTTAAGTCTTTGGTCTGGGACAACCTTTCTAATGATCGGGAGCTATTCAATGATTGGAACACGGACATCTCAAATATGGTTATGTAGCTTAGTGAGGAGGTCATGCAGTTGTACCTTCTTAACCTGAGGATCCACTGGCAGCAGGCACTCGGGGGAATTGTTTCGAGAGTTGTTGACCAATGAGGAGACTGTGAAAGGTCAGTGTGTTTTTGGACTGAAGCAGTTTAAGGGCATCTAATGACTTCACCTCACCAAAATCCAGCCACCTTCTGACCTCTCAGTTGAATCGCTGGCATCCTGCAACACAAGCAAAATCATTGGTGAGTCTACCTCATACACAAACTTTCATATATAAAGAACATGCATACTTTACTCAAAGAGAGAGTAACGCTTGAGACAGACCCATACCGGTCATGGATGCCTTGAAGATTATGGGATGCACCCAGAGTGATCACGGTGTAGGTCTAGAGGGGATCTCCACCACTAGGGGGAGTCCAGCAGTCAAACAGTCCTGCAATTGTCAGCAACCGCCATCCTCTCCACTCACTGACTCCTTTGTCCTCCTACATAAGACAGAAATACATAAATCAGTCAAAAGGCAAAGTTTACATTATTTAATTACTGCAGACTAACAACAGAAGGATCACAAATGGGTCTGGATGGAGTCAGTGGGAGAAAGTGTTTTTGAGAAGAAACGGGAAGATGGGGGATCTCATCAGTGTAATCAGACTCAAATATCTTGTTCTGAATGTTGTCAGTTTTCTGTGTTTTCTCAGTGATGCAAGGTGCATGTGTGGGTAGGCTCACCTCTTGCAGGTCTACAGAGCCTTCTTCAGACATGCATGTCTGTCTATCCTCCTTACAGGGTGTCCTCTCATCCTGGTCCTGTTTTCACGTGAGCGGGTCCTTGAGTCTGGAGGAAATAGATGAAGGGCTGCTTGTCTTTCTCCTGCCTCCTCCATTCATAAAAGACATTAGCCAGGATGAAACAGAGCTGTCCTTACAGCAGCGGATCCTGAAACGAAATAGTACACAAACATTCACTAATGCTTCGAACACAGTGTTTTTGCTTTTTGGTACCAGAAGTACATTCATTTCCAATGGAACGCTGCATTTGCCTTGCAGCATTGCGTTGCAGAGGCAGTTGCTGTGCGTTCTGTGTGGTGCATACGTTGGATTTATCGAACGTATGCGTAAAACTGTATGCGTAAACGGGTTGAGAAACGGTAGCAGAAGGTGAATGTTGAACTTTTGTTGCACACATATCTAGATGATGCTGCATACTATTTTGCGCAACTATTCACAGTCGGTGTGTTCAACTCGTCAGCCCAGTCCCAGTGTCTGATGAAACAACAACATGCAGTCATGAAATGCATGCATTGTGTATACGTACTGACACACAACATTTTCCACGATGACAAGAAGCATAAAACTAACTATAGCACTCTAAAACTCAGTAACATGAGCCAACTCTGTTAGCTTATGTAGCTTGCTAGCTAGCAACAGCCAATGCATGAAACTCACTAGGAAGCTACGGTTCAACTTCAGATAGAGGAAAAATCTTTCAATGCGTGGTAAAAATGAGAACCAAATATTAGGATTTACCGTTGTTAAAATGTATCCATGTCTTGGTTCAAGTTCGTTTCACAACGTTACGTAGCCAGTGTGAAAGTTGAATGGCAAATTACATAGACAGTCCCTCACAACACTTTTTCTGATATTTATTTATTCAAACATTCATAGTTTGTTTTTCCATACTAGAGAATAGAAATGCACTATATAACGTTGAAAATAAAATTACAACAAAATCGACAACAGCACTTGGAAAATGCCAGTGGGAAACAATACCAGTTAACAGTATAAAAAACAAAACAAAAAAACGCCAGTGATGCACACAGAGTACCACATTAAATTATCATAAGCTCTTCTGGTGACGATGTTCCAATAGTGAATATACACTGAAAGTTTAGATGGCACATTCATACAAGAATACAGTAATTATCAATACAAAACATGCATACCTCCATTTTCAACATCTCGTGTCAACAACTATGACAATCATGCTACATCATTGCAGGTATTCACTGTACTTCCATTGTGGAGTTTTATAAAGTAACACAAATGTGATAAATGCTTATGGCCACTAAAGCATGGAAGCATATGCCCAGACACATACAACAGTATATACTTATTGGCAGACTGGAAAACTACCCCTTCCCATCTCATTCCCACCCTAAACTATTGCCCCTCTACCCATCCAGCAGCTTGAGGATGCTGTCTCTCTCCTTCAGTGCTTTCCATGCCTGATCCTTCTCCTTCTTTGTAGGCGTGCGTTTTTTCTGCCTGGCAGCCATGATGCGACGGAAGCCCTCCATGACCTCATTATCTGACACCCGGACCCTCTGCCGCAACTCCTGCTTCCGCATCTCCTCCTTTGCCAGGCTGTAAGGAGAAGTTTAGAGTAAAGAATGAATGCTGAGGCGTGTTATGAATAATATCCTAATCCAGTACTAGTTTTGTGATGTGTGTTCAGGTAAAAAAAAGTTTTAATTCCCTTCATCTCTGCTGCACATATTGATGGTGGATGAAGTGGAACACAATGTGAAACTGGGCCTTCTATAAATGCAACTCATTATCATCAATGTCAGAACATCCCTCCTTTTAGGTCTTGAACTAAGTCATCAGACAGTCCTTTGGACCTTAAATCAACCTTATTTCTAATGTATGTTTTACATTTCTCCCCTGCCCTTTTCTCCTGTGCTCTCACCGGAGTAGCTCCTGCTTGCGGGATCTATTGTGGGCGCTCAGGGCTTTGAGTTCAGCCTGTCTCTTGTGGAGCTCAGCCAGCACCTCATCCTCTGAGTCTCCGCCTGCTCCGGGCCGCTCCTCAGAATCCAGCAGCCCCTGAGACATCAGCTCCTCCTTGATCCGCGCCTCTAGGGAGCGCGTGTGAGGAACACTAGGAAAGAGGGAGAGTGGGAAAGTCGGAGGAGAGAAATAACTAGTTAACTGATTAGTGAGTGACTGAGTCGCAGAAGAAGTAAGCAGTGATTGGAATACTTTGATGTAATCTACAAAGCCTTTGTTCAGGGCTTGACATTCAGGTAAATTTGCCAGTGGCAAATGATGCACGCATTTTTTTAGTTGTATCTTTAATTTGCGGGCTGAGCAAGTAGCCTAGAGCCTATAATGATGTGCGAATAACTTACATTTTATCTTTAATTTGCGGGCTGAGCAAGTACAGTGAGGGAAAAAAGTATTTGATCCCCTGCTGATTTTGTACGTTTTCCCACTGACAAAGAAATGATCAGTCTATAATTTTAATGGTAGGTTTATTTGAACAGTGAGAGACAGAATAACAACAAGAAAATCCAGAAAAAAGCATGTCAAAAATGTTATAAATTGATTTGCATTTTAATGAGGGAAATAAGTATTTGACCCCTCTGCAAAACATGACTTAGTACTTGGTGGCAAAACCCTTGTTGGCAATCACAGAGGTCAGATGTTTCTTGTAGTTGGCCACCAGGTTTGCACACATCTCAGGAGGGATTTTGTCCCACTCCTCTTTGCAGATCTTCTCCAAGTCATTAAGGTTTCGAGGCTGATGTTTGTCAACTCGAACCTTCAGCTCCCTCCACAGATTTTCTATGGGATTAAGGTCTGGAGACTGGCTAGGCCACTCCAGGACCTTAATGTGCTTCTTCTTGAGCCACTCCTTTGTTGCCTTGGCCGTGTGTTTTGGGTCATTGTCATGCTGGAATACCCATCCACGACCCATTTTCAATGCCCTGGCTGAGGGAAGGAGGTTCTCACCCAAGATTTGACAGTACATGGCCCTGTCCATCGTCCCTTTGATGCGGTGAAGTTGTCCTGTCCCCTTAGCAGAAAAACACCACCAAAGCATAATGTTTCCACCTCCATGTTTGACGGTGGGGATGGTGTTCTCGGGGTCATAGGCAGCATTCCTCCTCCTCCAAACACGGCGAGTTGAGTTGATGCCAAAGAGCTCAATTTTGGTCTCATCTGACCACAACACTTTCACCCAGTTCTCCTCTGAATCATTCAGATGTTCATTGGCAAACTTCAGACGGCCCTGTATATGTGCTTTCTTGAGCAGGGGGACCTTGCGGGCGCTGCAGGATTTCAGTCCTTCACGGCGTAGTGTGTTACCAATTGTTTTCTTGGTGACTATGGTCCCAGCTGCCTTGAGATCATTGACAAGATCCTCCTGTGTAGTTCTGGGCTGATTCCTCACCGTTCTCATGATCATTGCAACTCCACGAGGTGAGATCTTGCATGGAGCCCCAGGCCGAGGGAGATTGACAGTTATTTTGTGTTTCTTCCATTTGCGAATAATCGCACCAACTGTTGTCACCTTCTCACCAAGCTGCTTGGCGATGGTCTTGTAGCCCATTCCAGCCTTGTGTAGGTCTACAATCTTGTCCCTGACATCCTTGGAGAGCTCTTTGGTCTTGGCCATGGTGGAGAGTTTGGAATCTGATTGATCGATTGCTTCTGTGGACAGGTGTCTTTTATACAGGTAACAAACTGAGATTAGGAGCACTCCCTTTAAGAGTATGCTCCTAATCTCAGCTCATTACCTGTATAAAAGACACCTGGGAGCCAGAAATCTTTCTGATTGAGAGGGGGTCAAATACTTATTTCTCTCATTAAAATGCAAATCAATTTATAACATTTTTGACATGCGTTTTTCTGGATTTTCTTGTTGTTATTCTGTCTCTCACTGTTCAAATAAACCTACCATTAAAATTATAGACTGATCATTTCTTTGTCAGTGGGCAAACGTACAAAATCAGCAGGGGATCAAATACTTTTTTCCCTCACTGTAGCCTAGAGCTTATAATTATTTGCGAATAACTTACATTTTATATTTAATTTGCGGGCTGAGCAAGTAGCCTAGAACCTATAATGACCTACCCTCCATACACAAATAATTCCATTTTATATTACATTATTACTTGACAATATCATATTTACATTTATTGTTTGGAGAGAAAAAATAAAACCTTTGTGCAATCTCAAAAAGAGTGTTATTGTTAGCAAGTTGTAGGGCCCTATAAAATCAGTTTAATATTTAGCTAAATTCACTTCACGGTTCTGTTTTTCCAGGTTTCCAAGTTTTTTCAGGTTTTAGGGCCCTGATGAAGGCGTTGAGGCCGATACGTAAAGCTTATTAAAGAGCAGTGATACTATCAAGAGCAGTGTGCGGGTTTGTTAATTTTTTTTCTCATCTTGTTCAACTGTTGCCATGCACCTGCAAAAGAGATAGCTCAGATGTGCGAGTGCCTTTTGAGGTTTTCACTCTAAAATCACACTTTCTTTAAATAGAAAAAGTCCACAACAACGCTTAAACCACATCAGGAGTCCATTTTTTAGGTCTGGGAACAATACAAAATTGTTATAATTGGAGGGTGTAGTTTACTTTTAAATCAATTGCTCACCTAGCAAGAGACCATTGTGTTTGGCTAGCTGTGTTTTTGTACCGTAGCCTACAATGTATAGTGTAGGCTACATGATGTGATGGCAGAGTTTGCCAAAACAATGCCCCACGATTGATACAAATCATCATGATATCATTCTGCCACGTAGGTCTACTTTGCAGTCAACATTTCATTGGGACGTTTTTTTGGGATAAACCTTTTTATTCAAACAGCACATGATGACTGAATTGCGCATCGCAAAGATTCAACCAAGACTTCGGACCAAACCTTTTGATTACCTGGTTTGCATACCCATTGTTGCCTTAGAATTTACTTGTAGATATCATAAGTTGAAACATATTTCCTACCTATCTCCTACCTATCCTACTGCTGTTGTTCTTCATTCTGTGAGCTGCTGCACCCTGTGTGGCACGAGTTTGATAAATAATGTACATAACGAACTAACAGTTTCAGGAACTTGTCTGTTTTTTCATCAATTATATAGTCTAGATTGAAAATAGCATTATTACAATATTTTTTTGTGGATGATTGACTGGCCCAGGGGGGTTCCAAAACCTGTCGAGCCCTGCTTTGTTGCTATTCAGCATTTCCTTTCAGGGTATCTATAGAATGTATCTTACAAGGTTAAGAGGGGGTGATGTTAGTTTATGGAGGATAGGCTTTACCTAAAAGCTTTGCCCTGGTTGCGAGGTGAGGTCCCAGCCCCATCGTTCCCACCATCCTTCCCCGATATGTCGGGGACTGGAGAATCTTCCATGGGTGATATGATATTCTCCTGCATTAAAAAAACAACAACAAGATTAATTAAAGAATTTCAATTCTGCAGTTTAATTATAAAGTATTCAAATCAACTAGTTATTTGCAGGGATACGTTTTCAAAAGTAATTTAGAAATGTATGGTTAAACAACAATAAAGCCTGAGATATGTGACCTCGACAAGAGCCTGAAGGAGCCTCTGTGTGAGAGGACCGAAGGGACAGCCATCCTCTGGGGGGTCGTGCTGGGATTCTGACTTCTTTAGCAGGGCATCCACATCTGAGGGAATAAAAGCATCCTTATATCAGACAAATGCACATGATCATTTCAGTGCTGATGCTGAAGGTAGACAGACACAATACCAATTTATGAAGGCTCATCCATTCAATACATGCTGTATGTCGTCATCCCAATCTCCTGGCGTGCACTCACCTTTGGCGTCGAGTTCAGATAGTGGTCCCATGAGGCTTTTCTTCTTGTCGTTGGCTCGTGCTCCTTCCCTCTGTTCCTCCAGTAGATCCTCCTGAGCCCATCGCTGAGAGAAATGTTTCCCCAATGCTGGAATCTACACAATATAACCAATACAATACTATTCATCTATGTTCTCTCCTTGGAGAAATATGTAACAGAGGATGTGAGTAACACACCATTCCAAAGCACAACTCTTATCTGAAGTGTCACAGAATACCTACTATCAGATATGCTAGTAGTGCTTAGGACCTGATAAGGCAGCTACTAATGCAATGAACATAACATTACACGAAACACAAAGAGGTATGATTTTGGACATTCAATATTGTACCTTGTAGTATTCAGCCTCATCATCTGGGGGCTTCAGGAGTTCTTCCAGAACCCGGATTTCTTCATTTGTGATGTCAGCACAGTATGGCTCTACTGATGCCCAAAATCTGGAAAACATAATTCACAGATACACTATAAAATCTTGCACATGGGACAATGAAAAACAAACACATAACCTACTCTCAAACCAGCTTGTGTCGGTGTCTGTAAGTGACCTTCGAGCACTGTTTAGGGTGTCCACCCACTCTGCCCAGAGTGGGTGAAAATGCCCTTTGGTGATGAAATTTCACTTCCTTATGTTATAAAAAGCATGAGCTGGCACACACCCAGAGATCATCACTTAGTGTAGAGGTGCTGACCAATAGAGAATAAACTGTAAGCTATAAAAACAAATTAAGAGAGTCGCACACTATGTATAAACTCCCAGTAATTTATTGAGTAGAAACCACCAATGTTTCGGCATCACAGTGCCTTCTTCAGGGTCAGTGATGCTGAAACGTTGGTGGTTTCTTACCCAATAAATGACTGGGAGTTTATACAGAGAGTGTGTGTCTCTCGCTATTTGTTTTTATAGCTTACACTTCCTTATGTTATAAAATACATTTTACCTAGACAAATATGATTATTCATGTTCTAAATCGTTCAGTGGGGTCTCTCTAACATATTATTAACATTATATCCCAAAAGTTGGATTTCGTAACCTAATACATCCGATAATAAGCACCGAGCTGTTGTTGACATAGCGGTGCAGGTTTCTTGAGGATTTAACATTTTGTGGTCGTCGTCTTCATTAAATGTAAAAGGCTTTGAAATAAAAAGCTTGGTATACGCTCAGTTAGTGAAATTTTGTCAGCTGGTGACTGTCATGCAAATAATTGCCAGTCTCACGGTAATTTACCGTTTATTAACATTAACACGTTTAGCATCTCCTGGCTTCCACGCATAGCCTACAAGCCACTGATGCGTACCTTTGGAATATCTACATAAAAAAAAGTATAATAAATCCATTTAATATAGCCTACACCATCACAAAGATCCATTATTTATTTTACAACAGAATAGCATACTCTGAGTTGTCCTTATGTTAGGCCCTGATCTGGCTATTCCATATTGCTGTGGGCTACACTAGTTCACTTAGTAGACAAGATTTGCTTAGAATTCCGTGGGATTATTTTATATAATTTTATAGTATGAGGAATACAATTGAACATAGCTGAATAAAATAGATAGGATATTTTTTCCCATATGATTTCTGAGGGAGTGCGCACATGCGGCTATTCTGTCTTGAGCGGTTAACAAAGAAACAGGTCCTCCTATATGCTTAATTTAGAGTTATTTATGCAACTTTAGTTGTGATACAAACATTAGGCTATATGTTTTGATTTTTAATACATTCTAAGGCTGCATGATGCGACTAATGATGATTTGAAAAAAGTTGCTTGAAAGGCATGAGCTCTGCTCTGTTTCTTGCGCAGGCTGCACACACTTCTTCAGTCTCTCATTGACAATTTGACAAGCACTTGTTAATATTCTCACCCATCAAACTATTCTTAATTTAATCTGGTCTTTACATATAGCCTACTAATATATGTGTGGAAATATTTTTTATTTAGAATGGCCTACAAAAAAAAAAACTCTAATCTGTAGCCTGCACTCAAATAGCGAATGGAAGTTATGTGCGTTACGTTTTTTAATATGCAAGCATAGGCGGCACATCCATAAGGCTAGGGGAAGCTTTCCCTAAAGTAAAATATTTTGAAATGACCAAAATTATACAGTGAGGGAAAAAAGTATTTGATCCCCTGCTGATTTTGTACATTTTCCCACTGACAAAGACATGATCAGTCTATAATTTTAATGGTAGGTCTATTTGAACAGTGAGGGACAGAATAACAACAACAAAATCCAGAAAAACGCATGTCAACAATGTTATTAATTGATTTGGATTTTAATGAGGGAAATAAGTATTTGACCCCTCTGCAAAACATGACAATACTTGGTGGCAAAACCCTTGCTGGCAATCACAGAGGTCAGACGTTTCTTGTAGTTGGCCACCAGGTTTGCACACATCTCAGGAGGGATTTTGTCACACTCCTCTTTGCAGATCTTCTCCAAGTCATTAAGGTTGAGGCTGACGTTTGGCAACTCGAACCTTCAGCTCCCTCCACAGATTTTCTATGGGATTAAGGTCTGGAGACTGGCTAGGCCACTCCAGGACCTTCATGTGCTTCTTCTTGAGCCACTCCTTTGTTGCCTTGGCCGTGTGTTTTGGCTCATTGTCATGCTGGAATACCCATCCACGACCCATTTTCAATGCCCTGGCTGAGGGAAGGAGGTTCTCACTCAAGATTTGACGGTACATGGCCCCATCCATCGTCCCTTTGATGCGGTGAAGTTGTCCTGTCCGTGTGTTTTGGCTCATTGTCATGCTGGAATACCCATCCACGACCCATTTTCAATGCCCTGGCTGAGGGAAGGAGGTTCTCACTCAAGATTTGACGGTACATGGCCCCATCCATCGTCCCTTTGATGCGGTGAAGTTGTCCTGTCCCCTTAGCAGAAAAACACCCCCAAAGCATAACGTTTCCACCTCCATGTTTGACGGTGGGGATGGTGTTCTTGGGGTCATAGGCAGCATTCCTCCTCCTCCAAACACGGCGAGATGCCAAAGACCTCGATTTTGGTCTCATCTGACCACAACACTTTCACCCAGTTCTCCTCTGAATCATTCAGATAGATGTTCATTGTGGGCGCTGCAGGATTTCAGTCCTTCACGGCGTAGTGTGTTACCAATTGTTTTCTTGGTGACTATGGTCCCAGCTGCCTTGAGATCATTGACAAGATCCTCCCGTGTAGTTCTGGGCTGATTCCTCACCGTTCTCATGATCATTGCAACTCCACGAGGTGAGATCTTGCATAGAGCCCCAGGCCGAGGGAGATTGACAGTTTCTTCCATTTGCGAATAATCGCACCAACTGTCACCTTCTCACCAAGCTGCTTGGCGATGGTCTTGTAGCCCATTCCAGCCTTGTGTAGGTCTACAATCTTGTCCCTGACATCCTTGGAGAGCTCTTTGGTCTTAACCATGGTGGAGAGTTTGGAATCTGTTTGATTGATTGCTTCTGTGGACAGGTGTCTTTTATACAGGTAACAAACTGAGATTAGGAGCACTCCCTTTAAGAGTGTGCTCCTAATCTCAGCTCGTTACCTGTATAAAAGACACCTGGGAGCCAGAAATATTTCTGATTGAGAGGGGGTCAAATACTTATTTCCCTCATTAAAATGCAAATCAATTCATAAAATTTTTGACATGCGTTTTTCTGGATTTTTGTTGTTGTTATACTGTCTCTCACTGTTCAAATAAACCTACCATTAAAATTATAGACTGATCATTTCTTTGTCAGTGGGCAAACGTACAAAATCAGCAGGGGATCAAATACTTTTTCCCCCTCACTGTATAGCATAATTAGCCTACTCCTGTCTATACAGAAATAAATAAAATCATTCAAAGTAGGCTACTAAAGGATGATTTAGCCACAGAAGATCATTAGCTTCTTTTAAAAAATAAGTTGTGGATTGTTTTAAATCACATTACCTACAGTCGGAAGGAAAGAAAGCGCGCACAATTTGGGCAGATAACTGTTGAGTTGCGACTGTCTGTGAAAAGTAGAGAGGCCAAGCCAGGCATACCACAATATTTAAAAATACAATCGCGGAAAAACATATTTTGACAAGCGAATGGTTATTGCTGTAAAGAGAAGACAATGAAAAGACTAATCTGTCTTTTAGTTAACAAAACTCTCAACTGAATTGAGCGTACAACAGTATGGACTATCTTTTTGGCACCAGCAGAGAGCATCAGCAATATCCCCGGTGAGTGTGCACTGTGCATATTCACTATTTATCATTGTTGGGTTAGTGCTACTTAAAAAATGTCTCCAGTCATATAAAGTGTAGTAGAACTGCATGAAATGTGTTTATAAAAGGCCACATTTTTCCCATGTAAAGAAAGAAGAAATGTATCTGATATAAAATATAGCCTAGGCCTACTCTACGAGCTCAGCTGCATTGAACAGTGTTTTTTGCAAACAGTGATTGAGTTATATTAGAAGTCTAAATTATGACAATCCAATCTACTCATCACATTACGAATAGTAAGCTATTTTACATAAGTCTGCAAATGCGATGATGCAAGGAAATCCGTTTTATTATAAAGGTGCATTTTTATGGTGAAAATGTGCTTCCCCAAACTTGAAACTCACATACCACATACAGTGGGGGAAAAAAGTATTTAGTCAGCCACCAATTGTGCAAGTTCTCCCACTTAAAAAGATGAGAGAGGCCTGTAATTTTCATCATAGGTACACGTCAACTATGACAGACAAAATGAGGAAAAAAAATCCAGAAAATCACATTGTAGGATTTTTTATGAATTTATTTGCAAATTATGGTGGAAAATAAGTATTTGGTCAATAACAAAAGTTTCTCAATACTTTGTTATATACCCTTTGTTGGCAATGACACATGTCAAACGTTTTCTGTAAGTCTTCACAAGGTTTTCACACACTGTTGCTGGTATTTTGGCCCATTCCTCCATGCAGATCTCCTCTAGAGCAGTGATGTTTTGGGGCTGTCGCTGGGCAACACGGACTTTCAACTCCCTCCAAAGATTTTCTATGGGGTTGAGATCTGGAGACTGGCTAGGCCACTCCAGGACCTTGAAATGCTTCTTACGAAGCCACTCCTTCGTTGCCCGGGCAGTGTGTTTGGGATCATTGTCATGCTGAAAGACCCAGCCACGTTTCATCTTCAATGCCCTTGCTGATGGAAGGAGGTTTTCACTCAAAATCTCACGATACATGGCCCCACTCATTCTTTCCTTTACACGGATCAGTCGTCCTGGTCCCTTTGCAGAAAAACAGCCCCAAAGCATGATGTTTCCACCCCCATGCTTCACAGTAGGTATGGTGTTCTTTGGATGCAACTCAGCATTCTTTGTCCTCCAAACACGACGAGTTGAGTTTTTACCAAAAAGTTCTATTTTGGTTTCATCTGACCATATGACATTCTCCCAATCCTCTTCTGGATCATCCAAATGCACTCTAGCAAACTTCAGACGGGCCTGGACATGTACTGGCTTAAGCAGGGGGACACGTCTGGCACTGCAGGATTTGAGTCCCTGGCGGCGTAGTGTGTTACTGATGGTAGGCTTTGTTACTTTGGTCCCAGCTCTCTGCAGGTCATTCACTAGGTCCCCCCGTGTGGTTCTGGGATTTTTGCTCACCGTTCTTGTGATCATTTTGACCCCACGGGGTGAGATCTTGCGTGGAGCCCCAGATCGAGGGAGATTATCAGTGGTCTTGTATGTCTTCCATTTCCTAATAATTGCTCCCACAGTTGATTTCTTCAAACCAAGCTGCTTACCTATTGCAGATTCAGTCTTCCCAGCCTGGTGCAGGTCTACAATTTTGTTTCTGGTGTCCTTTGACAGCTCTTTGGTCTTGGCCATAGTGGAGTTTGGAGTGTGACTGTTTGAGGTTGTGGACAGGTGTCTTTTATACTGATAACAAGTTCAAACAGGTGCCATTAATACAGGTAATGAGTGTAGGACAGAGGAGCCTCTTAAAGAAGAAGTTACAGGTCTGTGAGAGCCAGAAATCTTGCTTGTTTGTATGTGACCAAATACTTATTTTCCACCATAATTTGCAAATAAATTCATAAAAAATCCTACAATGTGATTTTCTGGATTTTTTTTCCTCATTTTGTCTGTCATAGTTGACGTGTACCTATGATGAAAATTACTGGCCTCTCTCATCTTTTTAAGTGGGAGAACTTGCACAATTGGTGGCTGACTAAATACTTTTTTCCCCCACTGTATGTATGCCAGGTAGGCTACACTGGTTATAAAGCAGATGAATGTGCTTAATTTTAAGAATTGAGCAATAAATATAGCAGCACGAGAAAGTTGGGATCCTCTTTTAAATAGTGGCCAGTCAAAACTCTGGTTTCACACGCGATTGTGCAATGACTGGGCATATAAGAACACGTTTCACTAGGCTCTGTAGGCTATGTGCTCTCCAACCGTGTTCCAGGGGTCCTAGACCTATAGGCTACATTTGGAGTTATCTGGCCACTTTAGTTGTGATACAAACCTTATCAAAACATATAGGCCCATGGGCTAGGCTAAATGAGGTTTGCGACTATGATTAGAAAAAGTAGCAACATGAGCTCTCATGAAGTGTTTTATTTTTGATGATATTTGCATTGATGTCAGAGTGATTTGAGGGACAATAGAGCGCTGAGTACCAGGCCATTAGCGACTGGCAGTTAGCAAGTTTGGTAGGCTACTAATGACCATCAGCGGTATCAGAGCGCAGTTTTGGAGAAGCTTATTACCGATGTGACCCAGTGCAGCGGTAATACGCAGTGGTGGAAAAAGTACCCAATTGTCATACTTGAGTAAAAGTAAAGATACCTTAATAGAAAATGACTAAAGTAAAAGTGAAAGTCACCCAATAAAATACAATTTGAGTAAAAGTCTAAAGGTATTTGGTTTTAAATATACTTAAGTATCAAAAGTAAAAGTACAAATCATTTAAAATTCCTTATATTAAGCAAACCAGATGGAACAATTTTCTTGTTTTTTTATTTATTATGGATAGCTAGGGGCACACTCCCAACACTCAGACATCATTTACAAATGAAGCATTTGTGTTTAGTGAGTCCGCCAGATAAGAAGCAGTAGGGATGAACAGGGATGTTCTCTTGAGTGTTTGAATTTGACAATTTTCCTGTCCTGCTAAGCATTCAAAATGTAACAAGTACTTTAGGGTGTCAGGGAAAATCTATGCAGTAAAAAGTATATAATTTTCTTTAGGAATTTAGTGAAGTAAAAGTGGTCAAAAATATAAATAGTAAAGACAAGTACAGATACCCAAAAAAACTACTTAAGTAGTACTTTCAAGTATTTTTACTTAAGTACTTTACACCACTGGTAATACAGTGCCTTGCAAAAGTATTCATCCCCCTTGGCGTTTTTCCTATTTTGTTGCATTACAACCTGTAATTTAAAGGGATTTTTATTTGGATTTCATGTAATGGACATACACAAAATAGTCCAAATTGGTGAAGTGAAATGAAAAAAATAACTTGTTTCAAAAAAGTCTAAAAAATAAATAACGGAAAAGTGGTGCGTGCATATTTATTCACCCCTTTGCTATGAAGCCCCTAAATAAGATCTGGTGCAACCAATTACCTTCAGAAGTCACATAATTAGTTAAATAAAGTCCACCTGTGTGCAATCTAAGTGTCACATGATCTGTCACATGATCTCAGTATATAAACACCTGTTCTGAAAGGCCCCAGAGTCTGCAACACCACTAAGCAAGAGGCACCACCAAGCAAGCAGCACCATGAAGACCAAGGAGCTCTCCAAACAGGTCAGGGACAAAGTTGTGGAGAAGTACAGATCAGGGTTGGGTTATAAAAAAATATCCGAAACGTTGAACATCCCACGGAGCACCATTAAATCCATTTTTTTTAAATGGAAAGAATATGGCACCACAACAAACCTGCCAAGAGAGGGCCGCTCACCAAAACTCACAGACCAGGCAAGGAGGGCATTAATCAGAGAGGCAACAAAGAGACCAAAGATAACCCTGAAGGAGCTGTAAAGCTCCACAGCGGAGATTGGAGTATCTGTCCATAGGACCACTTTAAGCCGTACACTCCACAGAGCTGGGCTTTACTGAAGAGTGGCCAGAAAAAAGCCATTGCTTAAAGAAAAAAATAAGCAAACACGTTTGGTGTTCGCCAAAAGGCATGTGGGAGACTCCCCAAACATATGGAAGAAGGTACTCTGGTCAGATGAGACTAAAATTGAGCTTTTTGGCCGCCATCAAGGAAAATGCTATGTCTGGCGCAAACCCAACACCTCTCATCACCCCAAGAACACCATCCCCACAGTGAAGCATGGTGGTGGCAGCATCATGCTGTGGGGATGTTTTTCATCGGTGGGACTGGGAAAATTGTCAGAATTGAAGGAATGATGGATGGCGCTAAATACCGGGCAAGTCTTGAGGGAAACCTGTTTCAGTCTTCCTGAGATTTGAGACTGGGACAGAGGTTCACCTTCCAGCAGGACAATGACCCTAAGCATACTGCTAAAGCAACACGAGTGGTTTAAAGGGAAACATTGAAATGTCTTGGAATGGCCTAGTCAAAGCCCAGACCTCAATCCAATTGAGAATCTGTGGTATGACTTAAAGATTGTTGTACACCAGCGGAACCCATCCAACTTGAAGGAGCTGGAGCAGTTTTGCCTTGAAGAATGGGCAGAAATCCCAGTGGCTAAATGTGCCAAGCTTATAGAGACATACCCTAAGAGACTTGCAGCTGTAATTGCTGCAAAAGGTGGCTCTACAAAGTATTGACTTTGGGGGGGTGAATAGTTATGCATGCTCAGATTCTCTGTTTTTTTGTCTTATTTCTTGTTTGTTTCACAATAAAAAATATTTTGCATCTTCAAAGTGGTAGGCATGTTGTGTAAATCAAATGTTACAAACCCCCAAAAAATCCATTTTAATTCCAGGTTGAGGCAACAAAATAGGAAAAATGCCAAGGGGGGTGAATACTTTCGCAAGCCACTGTACGTCACTGTAACAGCCCTACACTCAATCCTCTGTTGACATTTCACAGAGATAAGCTTGCTTTTGTGAGAAATCTTTGAAAAATATCAGGAATTTCAAATTAGTATGAAAAGTGTATACTAAAATATGAAAATACTACATGACATGTCTCAAAATCAATATCCATCTTAAGAAAGATGACGAGTTCAAAGGGAAAGTGAGCCTGTCAGGTAGCCAGTAGCCTTAATTCTTGCACAGAATCCAGCCTAGCTGACACGATGCAACATTCCTGATTTCTGACCACTTTTTCTCTGGCCTCCATTGATTTAGTCACCCTAATTCTGGCCATCCTACAAGGGTAAACACTCCAATAACTTTGGAACAGATTATGACAGAGACATGAGGTTTGGACCATTTGTTTTCTTAGAGGATTATCTACACAATTAACATATTATTTTACTCATTGGTCAAAAGATGCGGACACCCTACACTGTTTATGTGAGATGTGATTGTTACTGACCTGTTAGGGGCATCGTTCTTAGGATTACGGGGAATGTCCTGTGGATCCTCACTTAACTCGTACTCCTGGACTTTGGGCTGTAGATTTTTGGATTTGGGTCGTCCAGGACCAGGCCCGTGACTGCCCTTTCCATCGAGTTTCTGCTTCTTAGGTTTGTGACGTGATGAAGCTGAAAGGTCTGCATCCTTTCCCAGCTTCAGAAAGCGCTTGTCCCCTTTCTTATCCTGCCAGTCTGTGAGGATCTGAGAAAATAGGGACCAGTCACCAACCAAACTTCATTTTCAAAGAAGGATGACACAGGAAGACTTATAACATCAGGCAAGTATCAGACCACTTGCAGTTTCAGAACCACTATGGCAGCAAAATATATTCCCTGTCCAACATTATAGATGGAGGTTTAGCAGCAGCAGGTAGAGTAGAGCAAGGAGGCAACTAGGGCTGTAACGGTCATGGAATTTTGGATGACGGTAATTGGCCAGCCAAATGACTGCGGCCTCCGTAATAACCATTCAAATAGCAACAACAACAAAATTATTATTATTTTATTTACTTTTTAGACACACATTTTCTCCGCTCCTGACTGCATGTGCTGCCATAGAAATAGAAAGAATAGAACGAGCGTCCCCATTCAAGTCAATGATGGCATAATGGGTGGACTGACGGCTATCGCGAGTGTAGCCATAGGAGCAAAGCAGGAAGTAACAGCAGGAAGTGTACCTATCAATATGTGCTGTGATTTGTTGATTCAACTCAACTGGCATTACAAAAAATTAATTCCATTGCATGAGCTACATCAGTTAACATAATTTCATTTGAATGAACACTGTACATTACCATGGAAACTATTACATCACAATACCAGGCAGCAATTGTGAGTGTACCCATGAGTTTACAAGTCAAATTGCCAGGGTTAGAGGTTCCAAGGCCATTTTATTCATTGTTTGCTACAACACCTCGCTTGTTTCAGCAAGGGGCAACAAAGTTTCATCACGTTGTTAAGTTCCATGTTATTCACAGTGATTACAGCTATGAGTCTTTCTCGGTAAGTCTCTAGGAGCTTTGCACACCTGGATTGTACAATATTTGCACATTACTCTTTTTAGAATTTTTCAAGTTCTGTCAAATTGGTTGTTGATCATTGCTAGACAGCCATTTTCAAGTCTTGCCATAGAATTTCAAGCCGATTTAAGTCAAGACCGTAATTAGGCCACTCAGAAACATTCAATGTTTTCTTGGTAAGCGACTCCAGTGTACACACTGAGTGTACAAAACATTAGGAGTACCTTCCTAATATTGAGTTGCACCTCCTTTAGCCCTCAAAATAGCCTCAATTTGACGCGGCATGGAATCTACAAGGTGTCGAAAGCGTTCCACAGGGATGTTGGCCTATGTTGACTCCAATGCTTCCCACAGTTGTGTCAAGTTGGCTGGAGGTCATTTGGGTGGTGAACCATTCTTGATACACACAGAAAACTGTTGAGCGTGAAAACCCCAGCAGCTTTGCAGTTCTTGACACACTCAAACCGGTGCGCCTGGCACCTACTACCATACCCCGTTCAAAGGCACTTAAATCTTTTGTCTTGCCCATTCACCCTCTGAATGGAACACATACACAGTCCATGTCTCAATTGTCTCAAGGCTTAAAATTATTCTTTAATCTGTCTCCTCCCTTTCATCTACACTGATTGAAATTGATTTAACAGGTGACATCAATAAGGGATCATAGCTTTCACTTGGATTCACCTGGTCAGTCTTAGTCATGGAAAGAGCAGGTGTTCCTAATGTTTTGTACACTCAGTGTATTTGGCTTGTGTTTTAGGTTATTGTCCAGCTGAAAGATGAATTTGCCTCCCAGTGTCTGTTAGAAAGCAGACTGAACCAGGTTTTCCTCTAGGAAAAACCTGTGCCTGTGCTTACACTATATATACAAAAGTATGTGGATAGCCCTTCAAATTAGTGGATTCGGCTATTTCAGCCACACCCGTTGCTGACAGGTGTATAAAATCGAGCACACCGCCATGCAATCTCCATAGACAAACATTGGTAGTAAAATAGCCTTACTGAAGAGCTCAATTACTTTCAATGTGGCACCGTCATAGGATGCCACCTTTCCAACAAGTCAGTTTGTCAATGTTCTGGCCTGCTAGAGCTGCCCCGGTCAATTGTAAGTGCTGTTATTGTGAAGTGGAAACGTCTAGGAGCAACAACGACTTAGCAGCGAACTGTTAGGCCACACAAGCTCACAGAGCGGGACGGCCAAGTGCTGAAGCGCGTAAAAATTGTCTGTCCTCGGTTGTCACACTCACTACCGAGTTCCAAACTGCCTCCGGACGCAATGTCAGCACAATAACTGTTAGTCGGGATCTTCATGAAATGGGTTTCCATAACCGAGCAGCCGCACACAAGCCTAAGTTCACCATGCACAATGCCAAGCGTCGGCTCGAGTGTTGTAAAGCTCGCCACCATTGGACTCTGGACCAGTGGAAACGCGTTCTCTGGAGTGATGAATCACGCTTCACCATCTGGCAGTCCTGCGGACGAATCTGGGTTTGGCAGATGCCAGGAGAACACTACCTGCCCGAATGCATAGTGTAAACTGTAAAGTTTGGTGGAGGAGGAATAATGGTCTGGGGCTAGGCCCCTTAATTCCAGTGAAGGGAAACGTTACAGCATACAATGACATTCTAGACGATTCTGTGCATCCAACTTTGTGGCAACAGTTTGGAAGGCCCTTTCCTGTTTCAGCATGACAACACCTTTGGGATGAATTGGAACACCGACTGCGAGCCAGGCCTAATCGCCCAACATCAGTGCCCGACCTCACTAATGCTCGTGGCTGCATGGAAGCAAGTCCCCGCAGCAATGTTCCAACATCTACTGGAAAGCCTTCCCATAAGAGTGGAGGCTGTTATAGCAGCAAAGGGGGGACCAACTTCATATTAATGCCCATAATTTTGGAATGAGATGTTGGACGAGAAGGTGTCCACATACTTTTCATCATGTAGTGTAGCTCTATTCCATATTCCTAATGTTTTATACACTCAATGTAAGTCCCAAATGGAAGGATACTGAGTATCGTAGTGGATATGGAGAATTTTCAGAATACGATTATGACACAAGTATTTTTTATTATTATTCGTGATCAGAAAAAAGTAATTGTCAGCTGCCAGCAGGCATATCTCTTTCACTCAAACAGTGTGAAGCACTGCGTGTTCTAAACAACTATTGGCTAGTTCTTGTCTATAAAGAAATGGGCGGGGTATCGGTTGGGCCTGCTGCAACGATTGGATTAGAACAAGCCGCTCTCCCTCTGCTCTCATTTCCACAGACACGCCTCTGTTTCTTTCTTTCTTTCACTCACTCACTCAATCATCTCAGGGCACAAGTCTCTCCTTCTCCAAACATCGTGTATGAATCAGAATCCATAGCTAGTCATTGTTGTTCAATCTAGTTATTCCCTGTCGACTTTGCTGAGGCCATATGGTTGTTTTTGTGTGTCTACTTGGCGTTGTTAAGTAGGCCTCCTTTGTCCATATAATTATTAAATTGCTGATGACGTCTGTTGTTATGTCGTGATCCAAGCCCATGCTTGCTTCCTATTATTATTGATTCTTTCTCATGCATGTTTACCGAGCGACAGATCATTTAAAAATAAAATGACAAATGTAGATAATTTATTTTGATTGTACACATGTTGTGGCATAAGTGTCGGGAGAGAAAAGTTTTGTTCCTCTAAAAAGTGAAACAATATATGGGGCAAGCAAATTAGCCTACCTTCATCTAAATCTGTGTCTGGAATAAATGCAAGCAGTAGTAGCCAGCCATGCATTAGGCTATTTATTATTAGTTGATAATTGAATAGGACTAAGCAAGTAAATCATGTGCATTTTCATCTGTCGGGGTCGTTTACCTTTTAACAATGTGTGTGAATGAGTGAAGGTACATAACGACGCGCTCTGAGTGATAGCGCAGTAATGCGCACTTGAATTATAGGCTTTACCGGCATTTAAAGAGCACTTCCGGGTTTTCCGATCACAAGTAAATCAGATTACGAGTATCAAGTGTGATAAAACAGATATGATTACGAGTATGACGAGATCGGCACACCCCTAATTGTGAGTAGGCCTATGCCATCTTAATTTACCCAGTTTATCAAGAGATTTACCATTCAAATAAAAAGTATTACCATTATGTTGTTATGTAGTTAGATTGGTAAAAACAAAGTCACATTTATTGTTTGATTTTAAAATTGATGCATTAACACATACATGGCTGTCTCTTAATGATATTGAATATTGGCCATCGGCCTCCTTGACCGGTCATTCTCTAATATTGACCTGTGGTATAGTAATAGTTAGCGTGCTGAAAAGCGTATTGCATAAGGGAAGTACCATAACACCTTGATATAGGGGAGGCGCATGCAAGCAGATGAGGAAATTTGGCTAGGATGGAAGAAATATAAACCAGGGGGGAAAACGCAGTACCCTACCCTGTGCCCAATAAAAAAAAACACACACAACCCTCCCCCCAAAGCAAAAAAAAGGTAAGACACAACCCCCCCCCCCCCCCCCCCCCCCCCCAGTAAATATCAACTGTCCCTTATGACCGTTGGTTACACTACCATTGGTTACACAGTTATACAGCAATTGTGCCAGCCCTAGAGGCAACGGAATCCTTGGGCTGTCCAATGACACAAAAGCTACTCAATTACTCAGTGACATTAAAGATGTACCCACTGACTCCTGTCTTACCTGTCTCTGTTCCTCAAGAGCTCTAAGACGACGGCTGGCAGAGGACAGGAGAGTCTCCAGCTCTAGCTGCAGTGTGTCCAACTCCTCAATACCGATGCCATCGTCCTCTGAGCGCCCGAGCACTGCAGTGTAGCGGGGGCACACCTTCACATGCTCTACTGGCTTAAAGTCATAGTACTTTAGAGGCGGGCAATCCTTCAACTCACTCATCTTGATGGTTAGAGTGGGCTATGTCTGTGTGGAGAGGGAGAGATAAAGTGCACCATTGATCATACAAAAATGTACAGACTAATACATAATCATGAAACTAAGTAAATTAGCTAGTTGTGTGTCACACACACAAACATGCCCAGGCCACGCATGCTTTTGTTCCAGCCCAGTACTAATCCACTTGATTCTCAACTATTAACGGGCTGGTTGAATCAGGGGGTTAGTACTGCGCTGGAACTAAAATCTGCACATCCCGTGCGGGTCCACCCAGTACCAGGGTTGATCGCTAGAACTCTCCATAACAAAACCTTGTACCACCGATTTGGAAACGCTCCTCACATTACTCACTGAATTCCACTAGCCTACTACTACTAACGTCAAGACCGGGGAACAACGTTGGTGAATGCCATTGAAGATATCGTGAACATTAGCGCGTTAACTAGCTTAGCTAACCAGCTAACGTTAGCTAGCTTTAGCACAGTACCAGTAGTATCTGCGCTCAACGACCGGCGTTGCTTCCGAAACTAAAGTGACCATTCATAATATCAATCAGAACCCCAAATAAACTTTATAAATGGACAAGAGAGTAGTTTGATTGCAAATACACCATGTAAATGGACCAAATGTTGAATATTAACACAACAATAGTTACCTCTGTACTGGCATCCATTATTGATTGAACCATCTATGGTAGAGGGGGGATAAGAATATTCAGTAAGAGGGACTTGTGCGTTAACGTACTAGCTATTATTGAGCCAGTAAAAAAACGAAATAGTATTTCCCTGAGTATTGAATGATTCTCAATTGTTAATACTTTTTTAGCAATTCCCATGTGACGAATAAACAACGTCAGTGACCCTCTAAATTGTAGAATGGCACCCCCGACAAATACCAAATCATATTTGGGGATGTGAATTTAGGGTGACTGGAATCAAACGAATATTAGGCATCAAAATGTTTTTGTTTGTCACTCATTTATGTGTATTTGTACGTATAATATTACAATAGTCTGTCATATAACTATGATTTAAAAAAATAGCACATTCCCTAAATTCTCATTTTCTTTAACTCCCCTACAAAGTGAGGCCAACAAATGGATGTGTCCAAAGATGTTTTAGATAGCAGAAACAAAGATTTTTTTATAACTAAACCAAGATAGACCACAGCCTGTCGTTTCCAATGGGAACAAATGAGCCATAGTGGGCAGAACAAGCAAGGAGAGGTGCGGAACTAAGCACGAGTTAGCGAGATCCTATTGGCACATTCTAGCATCATCTGCATATTTCCGTTAGGGAACGCCCACTCTGTGACGTGCGCTTGTGCAATAACTCAATTCGCCTTTGCGCTCCTTCTAAACAACGCGATTTGTAAAAACTTTTGCAACGGGTAAAGTCTACAAACCTTAGTCCACTCTGTTCATAACAGAGTGGACATATTTGGTATGAGTGGAAACGCCAAGTGGATGCTTCACATTTATACATCCAGTGAAATATCTGTCTCATTGTTCTATCTGTGGCAGAAAGATGGCCGCGGCGACCGTGAAGTCGAAATCCAATGAAAACGCTCTATTCGCTGTGATATGAGATTTGCGGAAGATGAGTTGGCAGGCGTGGCAAAATAACTTCCGCCTTCAAAACCCACTACAACAGAGAAATGGTGAGTGAGTTTAATGTCTATTTTAATCAGAAATACCGATGATATTCTCTGCTTTTAAATTCCCAGGTTGAACCTTTATCTGGTGGCTTGACAGGACGCCCTAGGAAAAACGTCTGGATCAAAGCAAGACAGTAACGTTGGACTAGTATACTTGCATTACAGCTAGAAAGCTCTGACAACGCCACAACATTCTTAGATTGTTCAATACTATGCAAATTAATGAGGCTAATATGTTTGTAGTAACATGGTTGTAGCAAAACCTGTGACCATGGTACCGCCTGTCTAGAGGTCCAAACAGCAGTCTGTCTGAGACGGAAATGTAAAGCCTTAGTCAAAAAAAAGAAAAAAGGTTTCTGGATGATTGTCGTGATAATTGAAATGTAATAGTAGTGTTTTCTATACGTGAGTTAATGTTGGCACCCCCTCCCTCAGACAGCGACCCTGCGCCCATACTTGAATGCTGTGCGTGCCACACTGCAGGCCGCCCTCTGTCTGGAGAACTTCTCCTCTCAGGTAGTGGAACGCCACAACAAACCAGAGGTGGAGGTCAGGTGAGTTGTGTGTGAAAGTGTCTCTCTCTCTCTCCCCTCATGATGACGACATTAATGTTATTTGTGACACTGTCTTTCCTCATTACAGGAGTAGTAAAGAGCTCCTACTACAGCCTGTGGTGATCAGCCGCAATGACAAGGAAAAGGTCCTAATCGAGGGCTCCATCAACTCTGTGCGAGTCAGCATTGCTGTGAAGCAGGTCAGGGAATATGACCCGTCTTTTCACTTTCAATGTCACCCTTCCATTATCTTGATGTTGTGTGTTTGTTTGCAGAAATCAAGTCTTTCATATAGATTTGAAAGCCATCAGTTGTAATCAATAAGGAAACAAAAAAAGTGTGTTTAATGCAAATGCTGATTAGTGCACTGTGATTGGCTCCATCAGGCTGATGAGATTGAGAAGATCCTGTGCCACAAGTTCATGCGCTTCATGATGATGAGAGCGGAGAACTTCTTCATTCTCAGGAGGAAAGCGGTTGAGGTGATAAATTAGAATCAACTCAGACGTTCATGTTTTAAACTGGGGTTGAAGGAACCAGTGAGATTCATAACAGGAAAGAAAACAGAGGCAGAAAGAGGAAATGATTCAATTGGTGTTGTTGGTATTGCTGTTGTTGGACTTGATAATATTTTTTATTCCTTCTCTCTTTCTTCGTCCATCTCTTCATCCTGTCATGTAGGGCTATGACATCAGTTTCCTCATCACCAACTTCCACACAGAGCAGATGTACAAGCACAAGCTGGTGGACTTCGTCATCACCTTCATGGAGGAGATCGACAAGGAGATCAGCGAGATGAAGCTGTCTGTCAATGCCCGTGCCCGTATCGTAGCGGAGGAGTTCCTCAAGAATGTAAGACTGCTATGTGTTGAAGCAAAACCATCTACATTTATAGAAATATGGTCAAATCAGTGGGACTATTGGAACAGTATTATGATGCTTGTCAATGCCTTCCTTTTGTTGCAGTTCTGAGTTGGTGTCCTCTCATCCCTCTCACTGATCACATGACTTAGCCATCACCATGGATCTGTGAGACAGGGCAGGCTCAAGGGTCCGATAGCAGGAAGAGGGTTGAGAAGCGTACTGTAAGTGAACAACCAATCAGCGAGGAATAACATAGAAAGTAACCAATCCAGTGTGGGTGTGTGGCACCCAACTGTGTCTCACAAGTATTTCCCTGTACTATACATAAATATTGATGACTGTATATAATTAATTATTTTCTAATATCATTTTCTGCCTCTTAGAGCAAATCTCAAAACCAAGGCGGGTCCTTAAAAGTATTAACCAGGTTGATATTCATGATTACCGGGACAATGAGAATGTGTTGTTGCAACTGAAACAGCCTGTGTTGTTTTTATACATTCTGTGTCTTTATGTACTCTTGTTTGTCTATTTGTTGTATAGTTTTTTGTTACAACAAAGAAAATGTAACCTGTTCAGTACGATCATCATGGACATAAAAAAAAGAAAGATGTATGTTTACATTTTATTACAAGACATCACAGATTTATTGAACTGTCCTAAATAAACCATGTTTGAAATGATAATGATGAATTATATAATCACCAATAAAACTCATGACAGCTTGTTTGTAGTTCTGAGTAGTGGTGCTTGTGTGTCCCATCCATGCACTTATTTTTGTCCATATCCTCATTCTTGAGGTTGAGTGTGCATACCATTAGATATGTACACTGAGTATACAAAACATTACCAACACCTGCTCTTTCCATGACAGACTGACCAGGTGAAAGCTATGATCCCTTATTGATGTCACTTGTTAAATCCACTTAAATCGGTGTAGATGAAGGGGAGGAGACAGGTTAAAGAAGGATTTTTAAGCCTTGAGACAATTGAGACATGGATTGTGTATGTGTGCCATTCAGAGGGTGAATGGGCAAGACAAAAAATGTAAGTGCCTTTGAAAGGGGTATGGTAGTAGGTGACAGGCGCACCGGTTTGAGTGTGTCAAGAACTGCAATGCTGCTGGGTTTTTCACGCTCAAGTTTCCTGTGTGTATCAAGAATGGTCCACCACCCAAAGGACATCCAGCCACCTTGACACAACTGTGGGAAGCATTGGAGTCAACATGGGCCAGCATCCCTGTGGAATGCATTTGACACCTTGTAGAGTCCATGCCTGATGAATTGAGGCTGTTCTGAGGGGGGGTGCAACTCAATATTACGGTGTTCATAATGTTTTGTACACTCAGTGTACTTTATTTCTAATTCTATTTCTGTGGCACTAGCTGTGTTGGTTGGGACTCAATTCTCTGCTAAGATCAGCAGTTTATCTTCAGTTTGAGCAGAGTAAGGCTCACTGTATTATTTTAGGTGTGAGAAAGGGGAAGTGAATGTGTTGCTGGCTCTAAAATGAGCGTGTCAGATCTTGCATGTTTCCTGGTTAAAGTCTGGGCCTCTAGCTCTAAGCTGGGGGGAAGGTAGCCTAGCGTTTAAGAGCGTTGGGCAAGTAACCGAAAGGTTAGAATCCCTGAGCGACTATGTGAAAAATCTGTCGATGTGCCCTTGAGCAAGACACTTAACCCTAATTGCTCCTGTAAGTCACTCTGGATAAGAATCTGCTAAATGACTAAAATGTGACTAAAACAGACTGTTTGTTGTAGTATTTATTTTCCTCCGTTTGTAAGACTTAAACTGCAACACTGAATTCCAGCATATTCATTCAACACTGGTGCTTTTTAGTAATTTGTATGCAATTATGTGCTTGGCTGATTTGGAGAAAATCCAACTGTGAGGTAATCTGTAATAGAGGAACTCTGTCATGAATCTGAGGCAGCTGTATAAAACACATCTTTATTGAAGATTTTGAAAAAACACAGGAAAAACATTTAGAAAAACACAGGAAAAATGATCAAACATTTGAATTCAGTAGCAGCCAACACAAGCACCAACAATTGAATATGCCCACATATTCGCATATGCTGATGGTGCAGCCATCACATTTTTATAATTGCACATCTCAGAATACTTTTTCATATAAAACATTGACACGAAGGACAATACAGTGACACTGCTGAGGTTCAAAATGGACAAGTGAATAACACAATCAATACTTTGAGGGGGTTCATACTTTACAAAAATAAGTTGCAGTCCATTTCTCTCCTAGGCAAGACAACGCTGTCAGCTATACATAAAGCCTTAACACACATAAACTAAACTACTAACAAGGCTCTTCCTACCATGAGATTGGAGCAGCAAAAGGTAATGGGGTCTGAGTAATTCCCTGAACGCATTCTCCCAAACCCTACAATGCAAGCAGAACTGTTCATTTCATTCACAATTCTGCTTGGACCGCTAAACCATTGGACTGAATGTGCTGTAGACTGACTGAGATACCTACGGAGGAGTATAAGTCCAACTGATACAATTGTACAGGCCTATTGAGGATGCTTACAGAAAAGCCAAAAGGCTCTGGTCCTTCAGTTCACATTGCTCTGAACATAGACACCAAAAGAGGACAAGGATGTGCTCAGAGAGGGAGAAGGGCTGGAATTCCAACCTGGTCTCAGAGCAAAACATATTATATTTAACTCAAATCCTTGCCACTCCATTTAGTATGATACACTATATAGACAAAAGTATGTGGACACCCCTTCAAATGAGTGGATTCGGCTATTTCAGCCACACCTGTTGCTGACAGGTGTATAAAATCGAGCACACAGCCATGCAATCTCCATAGACAAAGATTGGCAGTAAAATAGCCTTACTGAGGAGCTCAGTGACTTTCAACGTGGCACCATCATAGGATACCACTTTTCCAACAAGTCAGTTCATAAAATGTCTGCCCTACTAGAGTTGCCCCAGTCAACTGTAAGTGCTATTATTGTGAAGTGGAAATGTCTAGGAGCAACAACGGCTCAGCCACACAACAACGGCCACACAACAACGGCTCAGCCACACAAGCTCACAGAACAGAAACGGGCAAATGCTGAAGTGCGTAAAAGTCGTCTGTCCTCGGTTGCAACAATCACTATCGAGTTCCAAACTGCCTCCAGAAGCAACGTCAGCACAATAACTGTTCGTCGGGAGCTTCATGAAATGGGTGTCCATGGCCAAGCAGCCGCACACAAGCCTAAGTTCACCATGTGCAATGCCAAGCATCGGCTGGAGTGGTGTAAAGCTCGCCACCATTGGACTCTGGAGCAGTGGAAACGCGTTCTCTGGAGTGATGAATCACGCTTCACCATCTGGGTTTGGCGGATGCCAGGAGAACGCTACCTGCCCAAATGCATAGTGTCAACTGTAAAGTTTGGTGGAGGAGGAATAATGGTTCGGGCTAGGCCCCTTAGTTCCAGTGAAGGGAAATCTTAACGCTACAGGATACAATTACATTGTAGACGATTCTGTGCTTCCAACTTTGTGGCAGCCGTTAGGGGAAGGCCCTTTCCTGTTTCAGCATGACAATGCCCTCGTGCACAAAGCGAAGAGTGGATGCTGTTATAGCAGCAGGGGGGGGGGGGACCAACTCCATATTAATGCCCATGATTTTGGAATGAGATGTTCGACGAGCAGGTGTCCACATACTTTTGGTCATGTAGTGTATGTTACTTAATGTTAGGTTACATTACATTGGCCTACCAATGTAATATCGATCGTACAATATCATACGAATTGTTGGACGTATAGTATCCTGCGTCTTGATCTTTAGTATGATATATTGCGTTTGACTGCTTTAGTAGGATATGCTACGTTCGACTGCTTTAGTATGATATGCTCCGTTCGGTCAGGGGTTAGGGTTAGGAGTTAGGTTAAAGGGTTATGCTTAGGGGAAGGGTTAGCTAACATGCTAAGTAGTTGCAAAGTAGCTTAAAAAGTACAGTGCCTTCAGAAAAAATTCATACCCCTTGACTTATTCCATATTGTGTGTTACAGCCAGAATTCAAAATTGATTAAATCGTTTTTTTTCTCCTCACCCATCTTCACACAACACCCCATAATGACAAAGTAAAAATACACTGCTCAAAAAAATAAAGGGAACACTAAAATAACACATCCCAGATCTGAATGAATGAAAGAATCTTATTAAATACTTTTTTCTTTACATAGTTGAATGTGCTGACAACAAAATCACACAAAAATTATCAATGGAAATCAAATTTATCAACCCATGGAGGTCTGGATTTGGAGTCACCCTCAAAATTAAAGTGGAAAACCACACTACGGGCTGATCCAACTTTGATGTAATGTCCTTAAAACAAGTCAAAATGAGGCTCAGTAGTGTGTGTGGCCTCCACGTGCCTGTATGACCTCCCTACAATGCCTGGGCATGCTCCTGATGAGGTGGCGGATGGTTTCCTGAGGGATCTCCTCCCAGACCTGGACTAAAGCATCCGCCAACTCCTGGACAGTCTGTGGTGCAAAGTGGCGTTGGTGGATGGAGCGAGACATGATGTCCCAGATGTGCTCAATTGGATTCAGGTCTGGGGAACGGGCGGGCCAGTCCATAGCATCAATGCCTTCCTCTTGCAGGAACGGCTGACACACTCCAGCCACATGAGGTCTAGCATTGTCTTGCATTAGGAGGAACCCAGGGCCAACCGCACCAGCATATGGTCTCACAAGGGGTCTGAGGATCTCATCTCGGTACCTAATGGCAGTCAGGCTACCTCTGGCGAGCACATGGAGGGCTGTGCGGCCCCCCAAAGAAATGCCACCCCACACCATGACTGACCCACCACCAAATCGGTCATGCTGGAGGATGTTGCAGGCAGCAGAACGTTCTCCACGGCGTCTCCAGACTCTGTCACGTGCTCAGTGTGAACCTGCTTTCATCTGTGAAGAGCACAGGGCGCCAGTGGTGAATTTGCCAATCTTGGTGTTCTCTGGCAAATGCCAAACGTCCTGCACGGTGTTGGGCTGTAAGCACAACCCCCACCTGTGGATGTCAGGCCCTCATACCACCCTCATGGAGTCTGTTTCTGACCGTTTGAGCAGACACATGCACATTTGTGGCCTGCTGGAGGTCATTTTGCAGGGCTCTGGCAGTGCTCCTCCTGCTCCTCCTTGCACAAAGGCGGAGGTAGCAGTCCTGCTGCTGGGTTGTTGCCCTCCTACGGCCTCCTCCACATCTCCTGATGTACTGGCCTGTCTCCTGGTAGCGCCTCCATGCTCTGGACACTACGCTGACAGACACAGCAAACCTTCTTCCCACAGCTCGCATTGATGTGCCATCCTGGATGAGCTGCACTACCTGAGCCACTTGTGTGGGTTGTAGACTCCGTCTCATGCTATCACTAGAGTGAAAGCACCGCCAGCATTCAAAAGTCACCAAAACATCAACCAGGAAGCATAGGAACTGAGAAGTGGTCTGTGGTCACCAACTGCAAAACCAGTCCTTTATTGGGGGTGTCTTGCTAATTGCCTATAATTTCCACCTGTTGTCTATTCCATTTGCACAACAGCATGTGAAATGTATTGTCAATCAGTGTTGCTTCCTAAGTGGACAGTTTGATTTCACAGAAGTGTGATTGACTTGGAGTTACATTGTGTTGTTTAAGTGTTCCCTTTATTTTTTTGAGCAGTGTATGTTTTTAGAAACGTATGCAAATTTATTGAAAATGAAATACAGAAGTCTCAC